CACAAAAGTTGTCTTCTACTTTCATTCTTCTTTTTACACTTACAAAAGTCAGTGATGTACACTAGTTGTCCATATTCTAGAGTATTCTTTTTCTTTACAATATGTAATTTACCACTCAAGTAAAATCTAGATACAACAAATGTGGCTTTCTCTCCATTATATATTCTTGTGTGGCTTCAATTTACTTTACAATAAAAAATTTTGCTTCTAGAAGACTTTTATGTCATCACCTTTTAGATCCCAAGTTGGTGATGAATATTTTAACATATCTTTATTGTCTATGGTTAAGTTAGCTCCATCAGTTAGATTTAATATAATTGTTCTTCTGCCAACAAATTTCGTATTTCTATTAGTAAGTTACATTTCTGTCTAGTTGCCTAAATTCAGTTTTGCTTTGTTAACACGTTTATGTTTCAACCTTTAGTTGTAATTAATTTTTATTGCGTTTTCGAATAAATATCTTAGTTTCATTTTATTTTTGTCAGTAGCTAATTCTTTATGTTTTTGTCAGCTTCAATTTACATTTCTATGAATACTCTTAGTTTTCAATTCTAGTTAAGTTTAAGATTTCTATCACACTCTTTAGTTTAATGTTCTCTTGTTATCTTAGTTTTATATCATCCTTTATTTTTGTCATGCACTCCTCCATTTTTTTCTATTTTTTCCTACTTTACTTAACAAATTAGCCTCATTGTCGCCTTGGATGTGGAAAGTTCTTGATATTCTTCTAGGAAAATTATTTTTAAACATTTATTTAGAAAAGCACCTTCATTTTTGCTATAATCATCTGATTAAGATATTATTAGCGCTATTATTTAATCAAATAGTGTTCTTCCATCAACTTTTAAATAATTTCCCACATGTGGAAGAAGTGAGAGTCGTCAAAAATCTTTTTTTTTTTCTTACTTGCTTTGAGCAAAGCAAGTGGCATGCCTGAGCAACTTTTGCCACAAATGGCCAAGAAGAAAGGATTTTGAAGGAAACAATATTGAATTTATTCATAATAGCAATTATCAATCATCAAATTAAACAAATTGCTAATTAATTTCAAATCATTATACCAAAGAGATTCATGATTAATTGGGTTTGAAATCCAAATTATAATATTATATCATAAACTCATATAAGAGGGTGAGCACTCTGGTCACAAGATGGTTGGCTCCTACGTTATTTTCACACAATATTTGACTGAATTTATATAGAAGTGAGAGGGCGTGGGTCTCATATGGCTGTATGGTAACAAAATATTGTGAGGCTCATATATTGTTAGATGAATCCAATCAAAACTACGTCGTAATAGTCTCACTATAGAAATGAAATAATTTGTTTGAAACAGCAATGGGGCGGTGCATAGCAACTAAAGCCTTGGTGGAGTTGCATGTGAGATTAGTGCAGGTAATTTTCGCTGTACTAAAAAAAATAGGCACTGATGTAGAAATAATTTTTTGTATAATTTTTTATATAATTTTTATATATAATTAAATAAATTAATACATTTAATATTATGAGTTTTAAATGAATAAAAAAATAAATCATTTAAATAATATATAAAATTTTATTAAAAAGTAGTTTTAAAAAATCATTTTTAAATCTAGCTCTTGGTATTTAAGAATTTTTAAATTTTAATTAATTTGAAATCAAATCGTATCATATCTTATAAAAATAAAACCCTCCAGCACTTATCTTCTTATCTATAAAACTTAATCTCAAAATTTTATCTCTCAAAATAACTTGTTATTAGGAAAAAAACAGTTACCATAAACTATACTTAATATTTTATTGTACTATATGACTCTCGTTGATTAGTAATAATTTGGATAATTACTCCAGGGTAACTTTCTCATCTCAAACCGATTATTATGAAGGGACTAACGGCTACTTTAATCAAATATTCCTAGGATCGGTGACGAGAAAAGGACAATACAGAGAGAAAAATCCCGACCAAAGAAAGAACAATCAACAAAACAGCGACCATTATCACAGTTCGAGAAACACGATTCTTGAGAAATCTTGTCTTCTTTATCCTCTTACACCGCCCCCCTGGGTACGCATTCACCTCTTCACATAGCCCGTCGTAGTAAAAATCCTTCAACTCCTCTTCTTTCCACATACTCTGAAACATACTGAGAACGTCCTTATACTCGTAGTCGTCATCATAGTTTCTCAGAATCTGTTTCCTGTAGAGGAATTTCACGTCTTTCTTTGACTTGAGCAGGGATTTCATCAGAATTACATAAGAGGTGACGTGCTTGGTGGCCTCAGAGCTGCTGTGCTCCATTGCGATGAAGTTCCTCAGGAGAGATTCTGTGTATTGGTGGAAATTCAGAGGTGGGATTATGAGAACCCCTTTGGAGAATTTTACGTCGAGTAGATCCTGATCCGTGGCGGCTTTCTTGAGGGTGATTCCGGACGATGCCAGCTCCGTCGCTGGGACTTTAAACCCTTGTGGTGCTGGATCTTGCTTTACTTTGACTCTGGGGTGAGTTGGGAGGAAACAATGGCGGAGTAAATCCAGCAAGTGGTTTCCTTCGTGGCTAAATCTTCTCAGATGAACCCGATGGTCGCCTGGAATCATGTCCTTGAAGAACTGGAAAGCCAATTCCGTTAGGGACTGATTGCATTGCGTCGGAATTGGCACAATTTGAAACAACTGCTGGAGAATGAAAAAGGGAATCTGATTTTCCAGCAAAACCACGTCGGATCTCAACTCGAAGAGCAATCCATGGGTGTTGAACACTGGATCCCCTCGGCGTTTTAGCCCTTTCACGGCGTATCTGAGGATGAGCTCGATGAGGAAACATCCATCAATTAACAGCAGCTGGACGAACTCATCACTGGAGAGACGAATCTCTTCGGCGTAATAGAGTCTGGCTTTATGCTCTGAGTCCTTCAGGGCCTTCACGCAGCTATCCAGGGTCAATTCCAAATGAGCTTTTCGGTTCAAAAGAGAATATACGTACCGCCATTTGTGATTTTCCATGGACTCCAACTTTTCTTCTCCATGGTGGAGAGGACCGATAGAGATCTTTCCAGGGACATAGACCTTCGAGTTTCCACCAATATCTTTCCGGAGATTTTCACTGACTCTTCTGATGCAACGTGCAGTTGTTATGTCCTCCATTCTTTCTTTGATCGAAAAAACCATAGAATCATAATCAGGTATTTGTATCACACGATGATCTATGGTCGCTGGATGTTCCGCTGATGCAACAGTAATTTCTTCCATTTGAAAGAAAAATTGCTGGAAATTAATCTGAGAAGAGAAGGTGTTTTATATGTACGAAAAAAATGTTTTGCAATATGTACCGTATCAGATTGTTGTATTATGAGGTTCCAATAATAAATACTAACTCAACTATATATAATAGTTAATATTTTGCGGTTTTAAACTTTTATATATATCATTTGTTCAAGTTAGCAATGAAAAAGGTTTTAGCTAGTTGTCAGAAAAGTTAAGAAAGAATCGACGATGACTTGAGGGGAATGGAAACTGAGAATCAATTGCTTTTCTTAAATAGTTGAATTGAACTGTTGTGGCAAAATGTGAAAAGCATATATGATGGAAACTACTACTATTGAAGGAACCAAGCTTCGGTCAGGTAAAGGTAAAATGATTACTTGAAGGTAAATTTAAGAATTTATAATAGCTTTAGTCACTGGCGTGGAGCAGTAATACAGCAAGATGCAGCTTTTGTAAAGGGAAGCCAGCTTGGGTTTGCTTTCCATTGTGTACTGGTTAAGATAGGGATCGAACTTTGTAGGCAAGGTTCCTGCTAAAGGGTATAATTAACATTGAGTAGGAATCAACTTATAAGAATAGTATGTATTAGTTTATATGTCTCTTACAAAAAATAGAAGTTATAGTTTTAAAAATATCTTTTTTTTTAATGAATATTTTTTAAAACTAATAGTTAAAAATTTTACTTTATTCATATAAATTATATATATTAATTTTCAGATCATTTAA